TGAAGGGACTAGTAAGATCATCATCTTATTCTTAAGAACACACTCAATATTTATGAGGTTCTTAGCTCCATGTAATAAAAGCCACATTCACTGACTGTGACGACTTGGATGCTCTGGGGATAAAATTAATCAACATGCATGAAAGTGGATCTCAGAGTCAAACAGGAAAATCTGCACATAATAACAAAGATAGTTACTATCTGGCAAACCTACATCACAAGGAAGAAAGAATACTATGATTAAACATAATAAGAATTCACTTGAAATGTAAAATACTCTGGAACAAATCCTGCCAACTCGCCTAAGAACTGCAAAACAGGAAGCAGCCGACTATGCAATAGAGCCCATCACACAGGGAAAACACAGTATCAGAGAAATAGATGCTACTACACAGCCCTTGTCACTGTGCTGCAGAGGGCTTTGTGTCACCTGCTTTGGAAGTGCATGAGGTTCTGTCCTTGTGGCTTCTGCTCACAGTACAGGACTTCTTGAGTTCTGAGGCAGTAACAGGTACCTACTGTCCAAGCAAAACATTGTGGTACTACTGCAGATTCTCACACACGTGAGCTAGTGGCACTGCTGTCTCAAGCAATATATGTGCCAATATTCTGTTCTAATGTTTTCCAACATTACACTCCTTCCACAGCTGAACAGGACACAAGTCATACAGAGCTTGCACTGCCACTTAATGGTTTCCTCCCTGAAACTATAAGCACTGAGCATAGTCTTTTTAGAATGGGGGTAAGATACTCTCTCTATTCCCATTACATACATGCAATATGAGACTGCATGAAGAAAATTCAGCATGAAATGTGCTATGAGGCAATATATTACTATCACAAATGTGAGCTCACAAGTAAAAAGAAGCATTTTTGGCTTATAACCTCTTGAGTATCTTTGCACTTGAGAGTTAGTGTTGAACCCTTCCTAACCCTTCAGTTATAGCTTGTACTGCATAGTTTTAAACTAGACTTTCAACTTTCAATAATCATTTGCATGTATGTATCTTCAAAGAATGGAATTTGATTTGCAACTATGTGTTGTAATGAGAGGCTAATTAACACAAATATGGTTATTAGCAAGTTACAGACATTTACAGGACAAACACAGCAGAGCAAAGCCTATGGCAGACTGCATCACAGGAGGAGAACCTCAAGGATGAACTAATACCAGCCAGGACTCTGCCACTAACTACATTACCACAGGCAAATCGCCGACACTCCACAACTCTCTTTCCCCTTTGCAGCGGCATAGCAGGACTCGTTTGCTTCGCTGAGTAGTTCTCCAGCTTACTTAAATCATTACCATTAAATTAAAGGCACTCCAGCAATGCCAGGAAGTAGCGTCTGAATTAGAAGGTGGAGGTGACACCCTAATGAAGCAAGACTGTTTTCATCGTCAACAGCAGGCATAGTAAAAGGTCATCCATGGCATAATTGTGAAACCACATTCCAAGCTTCTGAAGGTAAGATGACTTTTCCCAAAACTTCATTAAGGAAGAAGATATGTCCGAGCATCACCAGATGGCTGAACTGCTATCATTTCACAGGTAATCAATAATGTACGATGGTTTCATTACTGCTGCTTTTCCTTACTCTTTGCTTTCCTAATAGCAGCAAAATATCACAGCTCTTGAAAGAATGCTTTTTCCACAAGCAACTGTTTTCAGTATGATCAAAGACCTATTAAGAAAACTGCAGAGGATCGTTTCCCTTCAAGTTGGTAATGTTCAGCACAGAGTTTTCAATCTTTTCTTTAAAAGAGCCACAGTAAAGGTACTCCCACTTTTTGTCTGGGACAGCTTCTCCCAGAAAAGTAAAATAGATATTTTAACATTCTCCATACACACTGGGAGTTTCCAACTCTGCATAAAGATAAGGACAATATTGAAACATCCACTACTCCTGTGCAGGCTTTTAATTTTTAAAGTATTGGGAAAAACTTATTTTTTAGCCAGAAGAAGCAGGACGAGTCCTCAGTGGAGGTCCAGTTTCATCACTGTGTTCCCAAAAAAGCTGCAACTTAATGCCAGGTGTGAAGCTGTCTATTTCCTGTATCTCAGAAACTGCACTACAGTTCTGTCATGGAACTCCCAGATACCAAAAGGCACATCCCATCCTAAACTCATTTAGTCCATACTGGGAAGTCCTTAAACCAGAACTACGTAAGACAGGCAGATACTTCCCTGGTTTTTGCACCTACTTCCTTGGGTTTTGCACCTGAAAAAAGATTATCCAAGAACAACTCATTACATACAATGTCTTTGTATCCAGAGTATATACACCAAAATATGTCACATTTACTGTTTACTTTTAGCAAAAACATTTGCTTTTTACTTTTAGGAGCAAGATGTGCTATAGGAGAAGTCAGCCTGCTTCTTTCTATTACATAAGATCTCCTGTGTGACTGGATGCATGTTATCTGACATCCATTAGCTTATGCTAGAAAATAGTGGAAGATACCCACAGAATTACATTTGCAACAAAAAACTCCATATATGATCTTTCTTTTCTAGTGACTAAATATATATTAACTATCTACTTGCATATACTACTTATATACATACACTAAATATACAGTTGCCTTTTTTATACTTGTATTTCTGACCATGAAAACCAAAATGATTGCAACCAAGTTTTCAAGTAAGGTAGAAGCTGAACTTGTAGCATCATGCCCATACAACTGGATTCTCTGTTTGCTTATGTCCATCTGTCAGCTGCCTGCTCATCACTTTTGAGTCCACTGATCTGCTTTTGACTAAATTTGACAGCAGGAAGAAGTCCCCAAGCGCCAAACAATCTAAAACAAAAAACCAAAAAACCAACCAAACAAAAAAAACCAAACAAAAACAAAAAAAAAAAACCTAAAAAATGGTTGGGTAGAGGAAAGACATTTGTAAAACAAGAAGAGAATGGTTAATGACAAAGGTCAACTCTTACTTGATGCCAGAGAACCCACAGGATTGATCACCCTAGAGACACAAATCCTCAAGGACCAGTTTCCAATGGTGCTGCTGCTCCTCTAACACTTGTTTCAAACAGAGCTGAAACCCAAAATGAATTCCAGTTCTCACAACAGTTCACTGGCCTTAGGTAAATCATAACTTCTCATGCTACTTCCCCTGCCATAATGTGGCTAGTGTTAAACTCCCTTATTAGAGTTGCTGCAACAATTCGTATTTGAAATGTACTTTGAAGGTCTGAAGAATTGTATTCACTAATTATTACCTGTCTTGAGACATGAGCTGAATATTCAAAGTGCTAGCTTGATGCATATGGAAGTGCACGTCATGTAAGTATGTGGTATGCATGAAGATTCAAAATATAAAAGCAAAGATTGCTTTTAGAGAAGACGCTATTATAAAGTCAGTTTTGAGCTCAAAACACATTTTTATTACCACACCTCTTCTATTAAGACTGGATTTAAATTATTCCTTGTTTTGGATTAGCGCTTTATAAAACACCAGTTTGAAAAATAAATACCAATTGACAGAAGGCAACAAGATCATGCAAAACTTGATTTTGTCCCCAGAGGGAAGTCTGATGGCTGAGATCTTGCACCTTTGATATCAAGCTGCATGCTAACAGATAAGTTCCACAGGGCAGTTATTGAGCACTGTGAAACCAGAGCTTATCCTAGAACTACACTGGCAATCCCAGCTTTGGGACTGGCAATACTACATCTTAGCAGGCAGGCAGTTTTATCCTGTTTGGTCAGGCACTTTCCAGCCTTCTCAGCAATGATGCTGCTTCTCTCTCCCTTTGCCAGAGCATCCCAAGCCTTCTTGCAGGCAGAAAAATCAGATGACAAAGGTCTTGCTGAAAGTACCAAAGCAAACAGGTGAACAAGATAGTGCACAAAGAGGGGGATAGCTCCCTGAAAAGGAAACTTTCCATGCATTAAAGAAAAATGGTGCTTTGCAGTATAACACTCTTCTAGACAGATTCTTATTTGTGGGCGAGGGAGCAAACTACAATTTCCTTCAATAATAACAGATCGACATTGCATCTTCCAGCTTCCTCCTGTAACACACTGACTGCCAACTGAGCACTCAATCCTTCCCAATACTGGCCTTTACGTTTCCTGAAGGAACAAGCCCAGTCTAAAAAATAACAATAAAAAAGCCACAACTGTGTAAGCTAAATTTTGGTTCTAATCCTTTCTGTCTCCCTACCGCAGACAAAACAAAGCCAACCTGGCCAACTTACTCCGTCAACAGACTAGATTTATGTCCTTTGCACTCTATTACTGCCCTACAAACATATATTATTTTAATGTAGTATAAACAAATATCTGATTTGCTTAACACCACGTTGATTCCTAGTGATTAAAATATGTACATGCATAGAGCAAAATTTATACATGCGCAAACCCCCTTTATAAGCTCTGAAGAATTATCAGTATTGCCAAACACAGAATATGTATTATATTTTAATTACATGAGACAGTTGAATATCAACAAGCCTACTTCATTTCTAATTAGCAGTAATCATCATCTTCCCTCCTGTTATTGCCTGACAAGAATAAATGAGGAGTCCTCTCTAGGGGCTGTACTGTAAACGTCCTAACACACATTTCTTTCAGAACCAAGCTTCTTACTAGTAGTAATCACACAGGCATATAATGCCTTTCACACAGTACAGCTGAGAAAATATATCGGTCATGGAATGCACGGGTTTAAAGTGTTTACCTCAAGAAAAGAGGTGCCTTGTGAAGTGCAATGCAGCTGCCTCCTGCGTCCCTGCAGAAACTACCGGGCGGCTCGGGAGTTCTGCAGAGAAGGGACCCTCCTTGGCCAAGCGCTGAAGGACAGCCTGGGTTTTCAGGCTGGAGGGACTCAGCAGACACAAAGCAGAGGTGATTTGCTTCAGTGGGATTTTCACCCATGGAAACACAAGCGATCGCATCCCCCCGTTTCACTGCAGACTAGTCACCGACAGCAGCTGCACCTGTCACCCACAGCGTTTACACCAATGAGATCAGGAACGCTTCTCCATCACCCAGAAAATCGTATAAAGTAACCTCCGCGCCTGCCAGCACCACTCCTTTCCGAGGAGCCCACCGAACACTGAACTCCGCCATCGAGCCCTGACAAACAAAGGCCACCTCCTTTGCTTTTCCATGAAATTCACACAAACTGGAGAACAATACCGGAGGGTCTGCACAATGGGCACTGGC